TGGCCCGGGTTGCTTTCCTGCCGGGGGTCCTTCATCCCGAAGCTGACTTGGCCCATTGGCCTCACCCTGCCACCACCAGATGTATCTTCAGTAAGTGCGAAGGCAAGACTTCTGGGTCCCAGGCACATCAGCGGTTCATCAATTTCCTGACTATGTCATCTTTATTCTTAAATTCCCAAATAGAGACGCTAAAACACTTAATGTGTAAACAAAGATAAGAAATGACCTTAATGTGAACAAGAACTCACAGCAATGAAGTTAGACTAAAAATTTGAAGCCCTTAGAGAAAAGCAAATGTACAGAGGAGATTTTTGCTAGAAAAGGAGGGGCATTGGGAACCAATGGCTACGTTGCTGGATTCCCACGTAGTCGACCGCAATTCGCGTCCCGGACCCGGTGGCTTAAAACTCACACCGAGCGCGTGTGCGTGCGTGCCCAAGATCCCGAGAGGAGAATGGAAGAGAAGGGATTGTGGCATGACCATCCCCCCTGGGGGGTGATTTCTTGCTTTCTGTCTCTATGTCTCTCTCTGTCTGTCTGGCAAGCGCATACGCCCTATAGCTAAAACCTCTCCAAAAAAAAAAAGAAGAAACAAAACAAAACAAAAAAAGGAGGTGCACTGAGCATCCCAAGAAAGCAACAGGGGTACTCAGAAGACAGATCGGAGTTCAGGATTACCATTTAGGGTGGCCCTGCAGTTGCAGTCACACGCTACCGGGAGGAGCATGAGCCTGTGTTTCCGTGAGCACCATAAACCCGTCGTCTGAAATGGTACACATTTTTACACGTATTGTCTATTTCTCCCCCACTGAAATGTAGCTTCAAGAAAGCTCAGGATTGGGATCAGCAGTTGGCATAATGGCTATGTCGCTGGACTCCCATGTAGTCTACCATGGTTCAAGTCCCGGGCCCAGTGGCTTAAACTCACGCCAGGCGCGGTGAGTGCATGTGCCCTACAGGGAAAAAAAAAAAAACCTCTCAAAAATTATAAAAAAAGAAAGCTCAAGCTCTGATAACTGCTGTTTCTGGCAACTGGAACAGTGTCTGGCACAAAATAGGCACTCACTATGCAGTTGTTCATTGAATAAAAAAATGAGAGAGATAAGTCACATGCCGACAGCTGTTCAAATCCCCAGATTGGTCATCCTGAAACAAGTGGACACCCGGGCGAGTGCCCAAGATCTGATGGACTGGAGGAGGGGACCTTCCACATGCTGAGACTCTGTGGAGGGTGCTAGTCTCTAAGAGCCTGGTTTTTCATACCATTTAAAAGTTTCTGTAAACTCACAAATGAAGCTCAAATGAACCCACGCCAGAACGGTACTGCCTTGATTTGTCTGCACGGACATAGGCATCCTCATCTCACAAAAGCACATAGGTACACATGCTAAAGTGGGGTGTGCTCTGAACACATGTCTGGATTAGACCTAGTGTGACCACACCAATCAGGCCATCCTGGTTGTACCCTGTAACCAACCCAGTGGGGACATTTTCTTTTGCTCATCCAAAAGGCCAAATCACCAAACAACCCAGGATAAAGTTTATTCTGAGAGACCGATCTGGGAAGAGCAGCAAGCTGAAGTTGGCACCCATTTGATAGGCTCCTTTCCAGTGGGACTTTGCATATATATGCATATGTAGATATATGTAAATATCTGCACATCCATCTACATGTATACCTCCTCCTAAAATAACCTGTTCCTTCCTTCCTAGTAGATATTTCCTCTGCTAGTACACACTAACGTGTGTAAATGGTGCCACTGCACACAGATACACTGACCACAGATGGCAACGCGCATACAGCCCAGTGAACTGTGCGCACAGTAAATTTCCAACGCCAAGTCCCCAAGTAAGCTAGAATCCTATCATAGTACTCGCTCAGAAACTCACAGAGCCTTCGGTATTTGCAAAGAGAGAATGTGATAAGAGCCACTTGTGACAAAGTCTTATTCCCAGATTAAAAAAGTCTCTGTTGATAAAAAGTGTGTAGCTCACTGCGATGACAAACTACTTTCAGTGAACCCACTATCCCGAAATGTCACACCCGTGACTAAGTGCTGACGTGTTACATAAAAGCTGGAAAAGATATTATGAGCCCATTGAAATAATATCTCCCCCAGACCTAAAAAATAATGGCACTTGTGTCTGGAATACCTTCCTCGCGCTTTGTAACCCAAGACACCATCAACCATAATAAGATGACAATGACAACAGCATTGTATATAAGGCAATGTCACCACTGCAGTAATTACGCAGCACCAGGTGGCGGTCAGAGAAGACACGAATGGTGACGTGTATGCTTCACAGCATTTTCTTGAACAATTTGCCATAGGAGAGGCAGCAGAATATATGTTCCAAGTCCTCTTTTTATAATAAAGCAAAAATGAGGACCAGCAGATGACATAATGGTTACATCACTGGACTCCCATGTACTCAACCAAAATCCCAAGAGGAAAATGGAGGAGAAGGGATTGTGGTGTGGCCATCCCTCTCCTGGGGGTGATTTCTCACTTTCTGTCTCTCTCTGTCCCTCTGGCGAGCACACGTGCCCTATAGCAAGAAAAAAGTCTCTCTTAAAACATATTTTTAAAAAAGCAGAATTGGAGGGCTGAGCTAAAAATACAGTGCTCAAAAAGGTGGAAAATTTCCATTGCAACTCTTCCCCCGTACCTGCCTCCCACCTTCCAATTCAGCTATTAATCAATCACAGCCTCGCTGAGCTTGATCCAGTGACATCTGCTATGTGGTGCTCATCACCCATTATGATCAGCTCAGAGAGGAACCTGGAAGTCCACTGTGGCCCGAGCAAAGTCCAGCTCCTCAGTGCCAGAGCACAGGCTCCCTCCTCCGGCTCGCCATGCCTCCTAGTTGGGGTCATGCAGGTGGCTCCAAGAACAAAGAGCCTGAGGCCGTGGCTCTCAGCCTCCTGTTCTTAGAAAGAAACTGGATGAATAAGTAAACTCAGAACCCAGAGGAAGTTCTGTCATTCCCTGGCCTTTGCACCTTTCTCACCTGGAAATCCTCACAGTGCCAGATGAACCCGTCTGGAGGGGAGCTGATGCAATAGAAGAAGCAGGGTATAATCTTGGGTGGTGTGAAAGTAGAGATCAGAGGGAGTCATTTCAAGTCTAGTTAGAAATAATCTTGCCTTAATCCATTCCTGAAAAGTGTGTTGGTTAAAATCCAGTTTAGTGTCCATTTATATCAAAGAGAAAGAATTAAGAACTAGAGGGACCTCAGAGAACTTCCAGTCTTGTACAAACACCACATTTTGAATTGAGGAAGCTAAACCCAAAAAAGGTGATTACGACGGGCCAAGACTTAGCAGGGACTTAGGTTGGCGACTTGCTCAGAAAGCCTAGCAGAAATGTAAAATGGGGGTGGTGAAAGGAACGGGCCATGGGCACTGTCGGAACCATTTCAAGCTTGCTCCTAGCATCTTTATTGGCCCGTGAAGCACTATCCAGAGCAACATCCCATCACCTGAAGCTATTTCAGGCTTTCCCTGTTAAGACAGAAAGGGAAAGTGAGAAGGAACCGCCAAGGGCCAATGGCCACACTGCGGTCCCGGCTTCTCCACTCTCCGCTCGGGATTTTGGGCATGCACGCACACGCGCAGACACGCTTTTCCAGCCCCGGGGCTGGGACGCCAACCTGGCAGAGGGTCACGTGGGATACAGCGCCTTAACCTCCACGCCACCTGGCCATGGTCTCAGAGTTTTTCACTGAATCTCGAGTTCTCCATCTCATTTGATAGAAGGGATCCATCCATCTCATTTGGTTTGTCATCCAATTTTGCTTTGATGGGATCCACGCTTGTTTAACCTAACAAAAATGTTCCTTTACAGCTTCGTGCCACGAGAAAACAAACCATCTGTAGCAATCAAAGCCACGGATGGACGAGGCTCTATTTTGAACCTCTGACGCTGAAGGCAGCCAAGGGAGCGCGCTAATTCCAATCCCACCATGGAAGGGAGAGGAGCCCGCTTGCCTGCTCTTTGGTCTGGCTTGAGTTGCTTTGCAAATTGCTGCTGTGTGTGACAAGGTTCAAGTTTCACAGGCTGCCTCAGCTGTGGGCAGGTCTGGGGTTGGGCTCTCCTCTCCCCTGCCATAAAGAAATTTCGCATCTGGCCGGGATGCCTGAACCTCGGGCGAGCGGGCGGCGCCCTGGCGTCCACCAGCGCTCTGGGCCTGCCAGCGCCAGAAACCCCCACGTGCTCGCAGCCGCTGCGCTGGGCTGGGCGCCCCTAACCGGCCTTATCGGAGGGCAAGGAAGAGGGCTGAGTGCAGACCCGGCCACCCCGAGTCCACACCGCTGACTGCCGGGCGCTGCGCCAGGTTCGGGAGGGTTTTCTCGGTACTGAGAAACGCCGAGCGGGAGAGCGTGGAAGCTGGAGAGCTGCCCAGCGCCCGACCGCGCGCAGGACGCGGCGTCCCACACTCGGCGCCACGCGTCCCGCTCTGCCCCCGGCTGCACTCCCACCGCGACCCTGCAGCCCAGCGAAGGCTTAGCCGGAGGAGAGCGCCGGGTTGGCTGAGATGAGGACAGCGCCTCCCGGCCCGCCCGCGCTTCCACCCGCGGGGGCTGAGCCGGGGTCACCTTGGCGGGTGTGGCCTTCAGTCCAGGGTCCCGCCAGCGAGGAGGTTTCCACGGGTCACCTCCAGGCATGCCTCCCTCCCCGCCGCCCTCGTCCCGTCCCGCCTCTCACACCCCGACCTTCTCGGGAGGAGCCGGTGCGCCAGGAGACGCGGCTGCAGCCGGCATGGAAGGGGCAGCGCGGGAACCCGGGAGAGAAAAAGCGGGAACGAGGAGCCGCCGCAGCAAGAGCAGAGGAGGGTCCCACCCTGCCCTCCCTGGATCCCACTCCGGTGACCCCTCTCGGGGCCGGGGCCCGGGCTGGGAGAGCGCCCACGGCGCAAACGCAGCCCCTCGCAACTTTCTCCAAGCGCTCCTCCGGACCCGCGCAAGCGCCCCCTGGCCGGGTTTGCAGGTGGAAGGCAGTTTGCGCGCAAAACTTACGGTCGGCGGTGGCCACCCCTCCGCGGAAGGCGGCCAGACTCTGGAGCCACACGCCCAGGGCCACCAGGAGCAGAGCTTTGCTCGCCATCTCGGCTGCGTTCTTCTGTGAGAGCTGCGCGGCGCCGACGTGCGCGCGGACCGACTGACCGCGGGGCTGAGCCGAGGAGGGAGACGGCTGGGGCGGCGGCAGGCGCAGGGCAGGTCGCCCTTTAAAGGGGAGGGCAGGGCAGCTAGAAGACGCAGCTCTCAGGGGGAGGAGGAATGGAGTCTGACACTGTTTCCACTCCCAGGCTGCTTATGTGATGGGAAGTATGCAAATAAACCTCATCACCTATTGGCTATAAAATCATAAGTTGGGGGGAGGGCCTCAATTCCCTTCCAAATATTGGAGCAAAACTGCAGCAGGACCGAGCTTGCCAGCCAGAAGAGGGGGAAAGGGCAGCAGGGAGAGCTTGCTTTCTCCGAGGGGCTCCCACGTGCTCACCCTGGGGTCTCCCCACTCCCCAGGGGTCTTTCCCCAGGGCTCCCGTATAAGCACCAAACACGCTTATATCGTCTCTGTTCATACTCTGCCGTCCCCAGTCTTCCAAGGAGGGGAAGTTCAGGTGTTAACCTTCATTGGGTCAGTTTTTGTTTTGTTTTTCGAGAGAGAGATTTTAGCTTATAGGGCACATATGCTTGCCTGAGACACAGAGAGACAGAAAGGAGAAATCACCCCCCATTGGGTTGGCCACACTGCAATCCCTTCTCCATTCTCATCTTGGGATTTGGGGCAAGCACGCACACGTGCCCAGCGTGAGTGTTAACCCACTAGGTCCACGATGGTAACTACACAGGAGTCCAATGAGGGAACCATCACACCAATAACCCACTTCTCTTTTGATGGATCCTGTGTGTTAACTTGCTGTGACACCCCCCCCAAAAACAAACAAACAAAAAACAAAACAAAAAAAAGGTCAGTGTATGAACAGAGACATGGATGGCTCCTGCAGGCTGTATTCACACAACCTGGAGTTTTAAGATTGGCAAGAAAAGCCTGCTTGCTCTAACAAGTTTCTAATCTTTGCCTCATGCAAATTAATACCCAGTTCTCAAAGTCATCAAGGATAACATTTCATCTTCAGGGACAGACATCGAGGTCAAATCCTTTTAAACTGTATTGAACGATAAGGGCAAGAAGCCAGTCACAGAAGACACATGTCGTGTGATTGTCTTTGTGTAAATTGTCCACAAGAAGGCAGACGTAGAGACAGAAAGCAGAGTGATGGCTGGGGGGGCTGCGAATAGGTGGGATGAGGGATGGGAAGGTTGGGGGATGGGAAGGTTGGGGGGATGGCTAATGCAAATACCCCAATGTGACAGTGTGGTAGTGCTTGCACACCTCTGTGAATATACTGAAAACCACTTAATTGAATACTTTAAATGGGTAGACTGTGTGGTATGTACATTTTATCTCAATAAAGCTACTTTTAAAGTATCTTAGGCACGCATGTAAAAGAAGAAAAAGAACATTACACTCTATACTGTGCCTTTCTGCTAAAATGCTCAGACTACTTTAAAATATTTCTTTAGGGGCCATGAGGTGGTGTGGTGGTTAAGGCACTGGACTCCCACATGATTGATTGCAGTTCAAATCCCAGTCCTGGCAGCTTGATAATCACACCTGGTGCATGTGCATGCCCAAAATTCCAGGAGGAAAATGAAAGAGAAGGGATTGAGGTGTGGCCATCCCTGCTGGGGGGTGATTTCTCACTTTCTCTCTCACTCTCTCTTTCTCCTCTCTGGTGAGTGCAGGCACCCTCTGACAAAAGCCTAAACACAAAAACAAACAAAGAAAAAACCTCTTTAACTCTTAAGGATTTACATTAGCCAGGAAGAATAATCAATTAACCTATACTCCTCACTTTACAACTGAAAAACTGGCTGATAAGATCTGAACCTCCAATTCACTGCCTTCACTGGTCTGAATATCTTAATGTCTCCTATTAATCCTTCCCTTCACAACAACACCCCCCCCACACACACACACAATATTCCTTTGTAGGTTAGAAGGCTGAAAAGCCATGTAATTTAAAATAGGCTCACTTTCTAAGTTTTTCTCAAAAAAATTAAAATAAAAGCTGATAATACCCAAACAATTTCAAATCTGCTATGTTGTAGAACAGACTTGTAGTTGGTTTTGCATTCAGTGCCCCAACACCTGCATTGCATGCTCACGGTATACCTATACACATCCCCAAGTGCAGAAACACCTAGGGTCCTGTCTACGATACTCACACGGCCAAGTGCCCTGCATAAATACTATCTGACAAGACAAGTGAAGCAAAATACAGTTCTCTGCCTTTCAGAGAACTGCAAGGAGATCTCATACTGTTGCTAAAAGGATTTCTGATGTCTAGAAAGTGGGATTTTTAAAAATAAAATGATTTTCCAGGTTAACAGATAACACTATCAAAGTATGGGAGAGGAGTACAGTTACGTTCTTGTTTCATATGAAACCCGTTCTGAAGAAGCCTAGGCTGTCGCATTGCACGTCCCTTGGAGTTGCTGAGATTTCCAGGAAGAACGACCTCGCGGCGGGTCCGCCGGGGGGAACAGCATGT